TTTTCTATTGCATAAAATATAATATTTCATTGTAACATCTGAGCTTTATGTAAATATTTTTTTATTTTAATTTTTTTTTAGAAAGATATCAGTTTAAAAGATTATTTTTCAAAATCTAAGTTTATAAAATCCTAATATTAATTGGATAACATAGATAATAAAAATTCATTCATAGTATAAACCTCCATTTATATTTGTGCCTAATGATCATCTGGTCAAAATATATTCATAAATAATAAAGGAATACATTAGTATGATTATAAATAGAATATATTTATATTTGGTTTGCATCATTGAGAGTAACATTGTTTGCGCCCCATAAGATTTTGTAACAGGGCAGGCCCCTTAAACCCTTCTTTCTTTCCTGTAAAGTGTTACTAGCTTAGCTTAGCAAATGATAGAAAGTCAATGAATTATTTAGTTAAACTATTGTCCTGGATTATAATGATGTGACATTTAATCCTTTGTTGAAAACAATGAATTGCCTTGTTGTACAATAAAGCAAAACTTTGAATGAAATATTGCTGCTTGCTTCCTGCTTGAGTTTTATACAAGATGCAATGCAGAGCTCCAGAGGAAATATTGAATCATTATTTACATATATCAATATCTGTATGTGTATATATATAAATATGTATGTGTTCATATAAATATTACAATTTCTTGCAATTTTATTAGATGTAATATTTGATATGATTAGGTAACTATTTTTGTAATTTGAAATATTTAAGTCAGTTCCCTGGTGTTTTGCATAAAGCATTTCTATCATCAAAATACCCCATGCTCCTTTATGTTATAGTGGTTTAACCAGTTAAAATTTTTGTGATAATTTTCATATAGTATGCATTGCTTCTTTTATAGTGACAGTCTTATAATTTTATCGGAAGATGCTTGTGCTTGTTTCTTAAGCCGGTGGGGCATTAATTTTTTACTTTGATTGGAAAGATTAATGTTCTGTACCATGCTTTGGCTGATGCAAGAGAATCATGGATGAGTCTTCCCAGAGTTTATCGCATGGTACGTATAATAATTTACTGTTTTTTTTTTTTTTTTACTTGTTTATTGCTTAATCGGACAGAGTAGTATAGTACATTTTTTATATGCTCGTTCTAGTAGTATGTGCCTTGCTAAGGCATTCTTAAATTACATATTTATTATACTTCTATGCTGTTATTGCACTGTTCTTTAATGCACCTATAGAAATTGTAATTGTGTTTCAAATGCTTTCAATATTTGCAGATTTTTTATAAAGATAACAAAGTTATCTTTGGTAATGAATTACCAAATTACCTTCTTCTAATTACAGCCAGGAATAGGACAGGTTGGAAATGCTCTTCACGTTGTCAGTCCTGCAGAAAGTGGAGGTACCATAGTATAGCCAGAACCAGATATTAACACAACTTCAAAGCACGAAGAAGAATACGTCCCGCTAATGCGTACGCTGCAATCCTCAAAAATGCAGTTTCAGCCATATACCCATTATCGTCACTTATATTATGTATGGCCAAGTGAAAATTATTCCAGTATTGTTTGAAAAATAGGTAATTTTTTAAAACATCTAATAATTGATTGCTTAAAAATACATATTCATTTGGTAAGTTATTTCTTACGAATACTAATTACCTTTGCTTTACAATTTTTTCTTTTTTCTTCCAGTTTCACTTCTTTTTCCATTTTTTCTTTTTTTTTTTCTCGCCTTTTAATATGATAAAGACGTTCAAATTTCATAATGTTATACAAATTTTGTAAGAAAATCGAGCGAAAGTAATAAGTAAATTGTGTGTACATGTATATATGTATACATATGTATGTTTGATCTTACATACTGTACTAAATCATTCCAATAAGATCCTCTTAGGAAAATAAATTTGAATTGAATGGTGTTAATACTAAATGCTTATATATATTGTCAGAAACTTTTTTATGTTATCAATATAATTATTCAGAAATATGATTTTAAATAGTTTGCTTCTTGTGGCATAGATTAACAAGCAGTTTAACTATTGTAATCAGTCAGAGCAATATGTAAATATAAAATATTTTAAGCAGTATTTTAATTTGCATATTTGTTACTAGGAATTAATTATTTTTATCTTGAGTAATGTTACATATGAAAAAAAGTGAATTAAATAGTATATAACGCAAAATTCCTGTTATTTCATTTTTCAGTATGAATTTTAATAAATATTATTTTTTTACGTTGTTAATTTTAAGAAGTATTTACTGAAAATATATGTTATAATGATATATGTTAGAACATATATGTTATAATATAATGATATATGTTATAAAATATATGTTATAACATTCCTTCTTTATGCTTCACTTCTTGTTAATGCAGTTCAGGAATATACTCTGGTTGATGCTAATTAAATTGCCTTAATGAAATCGTAAATTAAGTAAAGAAATTTTTTATTTGTTCTATATTATAGTTACACGAATATGTTCTCAAGAAACTTGTTCGCTTTATTGAAAATCTATAATGAGTGCATCGTCGATGTACGATCAGTTGAAAACGTAGCGTAAAAAGCGACTTTATATCTGAGAGCTAAAAGACATTAATCACAAGTAATTAATTAAAAGTCTAACTGAAGAAGTAAGTTGTATATCATATATTGCTAAAATAGTTGCTGTAGATTTCTATTTAATTTCTGTATGAAGCTTTTTAAAAGAGCTTATTGTGAAATAAATATTATGTCTTTTAATTCTATTTATAAAGTTTCTATATGTTATTACAAAATAACAATGAATCATTTTTACAACGAATAAACAAATATTTTTATATAGTTCTCAGATACGAAAGTCTATCACAGTAAACAAATAATTATGAATATATGAACAAATAGTTACTGAATATTCTAATGATGGACAGTATTTCATATTACATATTCCACACGGCGATACTATTTATTACTTTATTAATATAGACAATTAAACGTGCGCGTGTATGTGCGCATACTGCGTCTACGCATGAGAGAAAGAGAAAGAGAGAGAGAGAGAGAGAGAGAGAGAGAGAGAGAGAGAGTGAGAGGGGGAGAGAGAGAGAGAGAAAGAGAGAGAGGAGAGAAAAATGTATACACATGCGCGCTCGCGCGCGCGTGCGTGTTATAATATTAATATCAGAATGAAAGAACAATTTGTATTGTTGTAATTTTTAAACAGTTTGAAAATGATGATACATTTTTCATCTTGTATCATGGGCATTTTTTAAAAATATCAATAATTTAGTGATGAAATGCAAAGGAAATATAACATCGTATTGATAAACGTATTTATTTATTATTACACGACAAGCTAATCAGTAAAGTGACAAGTTAATCATATAATTTAGGTAATTATGAACCAGTGTTTCTTAGACAATAATATATTTGTCATGGCATGCATTCAAATAATATTCATAAATATTTTACGATTGTTACACGCATAATAGATTTAATTTATATTTTAGTTATTAAGAATCACTGGTTTTAACGATGATATACTTTTTCCAAAATTTTTTTATAAAAGTATTAAAAGTATCTGAAAAGATATCTTTTTGTATATTCGTATTTTACGTTATAAGTAAATGAATTATAAGATATATATACGTATTGTGTATATATTAATAAATTCTGTTTTGATGCAAATGAGTATACAGAAATGTTTTGTAATATATGTTTTAATATTGTGTGCAAGAGAAAACAATGACAGCCCTGTTTTTATGTTAAATAAATAAATTTAAATATGTTATTGCAACAATAACAGCATCATAGTTTTCATAATTGTTTATATTTAAGGCAAGAACCAACGACAAGTTTCATTGGATGACTTGGAACCAGAAAATTACGTGACGTGCGACATTATCTACCTTTCAACAAATAATAAATACACAACATTGCTCCTTTCCATTTAAACTCCTCGAGGTGTACTGTGATACGTGCGTATGCTGACATTGACTAATTACCTAATTGTAAGTAACAAAAGTGAGAATTATGCTAATGTCGTGAATCGCGTTGTCATGTGTCGAGACGAATGATTAATTTTCAAATTGTATTTGTTGGTTGAACGTCTCTTATATTGATATGCGTTATTAAGCCGGAAGTAATCGAAGGCTGGCCTGTTAGATACCAAACTATATTTGATTTATTGAATCCGAGATTTATAATGTTCCTACATTGTAAGCTATATAACAAGTTCATAATAAATAATATGTTTGATTTCATGATCAGTACTGACCAGAAGTTGCCGTGTCGAATTTATTAATTAATATTTTATACTAATTACAATACAATTATTTCGTTCAATGAGAATGCATTTTTTAAACTTCTCTATTTTGATACGAAATCTTTGTTTCTTCAAATATTAGTTACTATTTTTTGAAAATGTTTTTCGTTTTGGAAAAGCGAACAAGATTTCTTTATATCAAAGAAATCTATAGTTATAATTTACATAATATTATCATTAATACAACAATGCAAAGGAATATTTTATTACGAATTAGTTGACCAGTCTGGCTGATTACATCTATGCTAATGCATATACGAATAACCGGTCATTTCGTATCTACTGATTTTTTATAGAATATTTTCACACAATTTTATGATACCGTTAAATTATTAGTTTTGTTTACATTTTACTTCATTTGTTTATAAAAGTGTACATTCTTTGTAATTATAAATGAAAAAAAATTTAATTGTTATTGCTGTCGTATATTTTTCTTTACAACAATTACCCAAAATTGCGGAATTATTTTAGTAAATGTAGTTATATAAATCTTACTTATTATGAGTTTCGTAAATAATATTACAGGTACTAAAAACTTTTCGTAATGTTATTTGCTCGGCCATCTGCGATTATATTCGATTTATTTCCTTTTTTTATTTACTTTCCTTTTCTTAACATTTATGCAACGCATTTTTATTGCTACAACAAAATTGTATTTCGTAACTATTTTTACAATATGAAAAACCTTTTACATGATATAATTGAGAATTTTTCTGAAAATTTAATACACCTGAGAAATGAAAAAATTACAAATATTGCGTTTAGATAATGATACGGTACAAAAAGTGGACCTGGAAATAGGTAGTAATATCATTAGTCGAAGTGTAACTGGAGTAAGTATTTAATTATGCAAAATAACCCACTTTTTTTGTAAACTGTAACATTTTATACCTTTCTCACGCATGCGTTGTCAAGTATACTTTATTCAACAAAGCTTATTTCTTTTCGTGTATACATATTGTGCCTATACCTTAATCGTGACATGTTTTCGTATTTTCAATGTGAAACTTGTGTGAATTATGAATTATGAACCTAGTCTACATAATTTGAATTTCAGTGCGATGATGACCGAGTTATAAAACAGGCAGCAATAATAAATTTAACATCTGATAATGAAATGACAATAATACCGGTAAGAAGAAATTCTTGATTTTTATTATATATATAATAATATGTATAATAAATTCATTAGTGTTTTATAGGAATTATTTCTTACTATCAGGTTTCACCATGTTACATGAAATCTATCGAATCATCGCGATGGCAGTTTCTTAAACTAGGTGTTACAGTCCCGATAAAACCTGGAGACATTTGCACTCTAGTACTGGATAAATGTTGGTTTAAAATCATATCAGTATCTGATAAAATGGAAAATAACAAGGACAACACATTAAAACGAAAAGTATTAAATTGACGTCGCAGCAAATGATAATACAACTGAATTTCAATATTTTTAATAATTAAATTATAGGTTAACGAAGTTGTAGATTCTGAAACCATATATGATAAAAAGCTCTGTTCAGAATCAGGAGAAGGAGATAATTTGAATAATAATAATGATATAATTAAAGTAACTACTGGAGAAAATGTTATAAATAAAAATAATTTACCATATGATGAAATTAAAGATAAAATACAAGACTTGAATTGTGGATTAATATACAAATCACAAAGTACATACAACTCATCTGTAATGGAGAAAGATGATTATGAAGTTCAAAATATAAATGAAAATACTTCTATAAATGACAAAACTCTAAATCTTAAGGAGAATTTCGATGTTCCTTCTATACAGAAGGACAATGGAAATGTCACAACAATAGATACAAAGTCTTCTATTCTAGAAGAAGCACATGGATCAGGAGGTTTAACTAAAACAGTTGTAAATGATTTTAGAAGAACAAAGTGCAAATATGGAAAAGAATGTTATAGGTAAGTTGATATCTTTTCCTTTTATTTTAAGAATTTCATAAAGAAAATTTTTTAACAGGAGAAGTTCACAACATAAAACTAAATTTAGTCATCCTGAAGATTCTGATTATGATCTCCCTGATAATAGAGAAGAGTGTCCCTATGGCATCCAATGTTATCGTAAAAATCCTCAGCATAAAATACAATTCAAACATACTAGTACAAATGTTACAAGTAAACATAATAGAAGAAGTCGTAAACAAACACAAATACAAACAGCTTTGGAAACTGTAAGTGGAATGGAAGATTCATCTGTAGATGAATCTGATGAGGAATCCATTGATGAATCTGAGTATGATCCTTCAAGTGATATTGAAAGTTTAGATGATGAGGAAATGTACTCTGATGAAAATGAAAGTGAGCAACAAGATGATATGATTGATTAAAGAAATTAATATTTTTTCATTCTAAGATGTTCAGATATTTCTATATTATTCATCCACATGAATATATATTTATTTTTATATTTACATAAATATGTACACTAGTCTAAGAAATATGAAAATGTAAAAATGATATACTTGAATAGCCTTTTTATAATGTAAAAATTAAAAAAGTAAGTATAATCCAACAAGAATTGGTTTATTTTTTTTATTTACTTATTTATTTATTCAATGGAGAAAGGTCCATTTGTACACATGATAACAAACTGTATGTATCTCGATAACAATCTTGATAACAGAAGAGAAAGTTGATACAGAATCGAAGTATAAAAGAGAATTATAGTAGAATAATAACGATAAGAAATAGTAAAGTTAAAGTAATACGAAGTTAGATGACATAATAATAATTACATCTAGTATATAATTACAGTATTTAATTATAATAGTATAGTAGTATATGTGGTATATAATAGTATAGTAACTAGTAATTATAGTATATAATTATTAGTGGGTAGTAATTATTGAAGATTCTGACATCCAAACGCCTACAATTTGTGACTATCTCCAAATTCAGTACCGACGCATTTTTCAATATTTATAAATCTTTAATAATTTTTATATCTTTCATCATTTTCCTCTTCAGTAGCTACATCTACAAGCGAAAGGTTTGGTATTTCTGAACCCCGTACTTTAATCGTGTAACAAACATTTTCTATTTTATGAAGACTTTGTTTAAGTGTAAAAATTTTTCTGTTTATACCTCTATGTGACATATGTCCACAACCAAGGAAACCCTTATACATACATCTAACAAAATTGCATGTTTCATAACAACTAACTCTATCACCAGTTCCCAAGTTATTGATACATTGACGCATTAACTCTCCGGTCAAATCAGCAATGCCCAAGACATATTTAAAAGGAGTAATTAAAATTTCTATGGTTTTAATTTCAGACTTTTCAGGAATTGTATAGGTAAGTGCTTTTTGTATCTCCTCCAAATTTCCCACATCACAGTTATTTAAATATTGATAAAATGTAACAGCTTCTATGTATTCTTCCAAACCAGCATGATAAGCATTAGAATAAAGATATGGACAATGATTTTCTAATTCTTGTGCAATACCTTTAAAAAGATTTTGCGCGACATTCTGTAGTCTCGATTCAGCTTCATATAATATACTATCTTGTTTATTTTTTTTATCTAAGGTATGTAAAAGAAAAATAATCCTTTTACTCTCTATATTAATATCTCTGTTAATTTTGACAATTCTTTCAAAACGATCGTGTTTATCATCTAATTCAATCGCATATGCTTGAAACTGTTTTAAGATCAAATTATTTTCATCTATACTTTCCACAACTTCTTTCCTCTTGTCACCAATGTTAATCTTCTTATTGCAGCGATGTCTTCCACGATTTTTGCGATCTCCTTTGTCCAACCATAAAATAAGAAAATCATATTTTTTCTTTTTTAAATTGTCAGAATACAGTTAGTTAATATCTTTTTTATATCAGTTTATTTCAATAATGAGAATGCAAATGTGAAGTATATATGCGTCGTATTAAAAGTAGAAGCGATTTATAACAAGCCTATGACTGACACGAAAATGTAAATGGCATAAAATATACTTAGAACTTTTGTAATTTCAGTAATATACCTCTGGATTGAGACATAACGATTACTTTTACATTAGCATCAAATTGATAAGTTGTAAATACAATCTTAGCCAACAATCAATTCGTATATAATAGCATTAACCAAATATAGACTAGATTTGACTCTCAATACATGTACGTTGCTCTATGCATACCATAGATAAAATACAGAATAGATATATCGTCTAATATATTTTTAAACGAATAAAAACAGAGTGTTAAGATAAAGTCTATTGTATAAATATTCACTTATAAAAATAACTAAATTATTATTATACTTCTACAAGATGCATTTAACATATTAATAAATTAAAAACTTTTATAGCATCTAAATGAAAATTCAACATTTAATTTTTGTATTTTATTTATTAATAAACATTGGATAGTTTTATTAAAACTAAAGTATTATTTTATGGAACCTTTAATAATATTTTGGTTAAAAACTTGGTTCGTGCTATGAAATTATAAGTTACAAGCATTAATAAAAAATTTAGCACCTGACAATAGGATAGTATCGTGCACAATATACGTCCCATAATTGTATGTGGTGGTTAGCTTTGCGCAATATACGTCGTTGCGTAAGCGTAGAGTCTCAACTGCGTAGTAAACCTCTACGTGGGGCGATCTGGAAATTGACATCGTTTATCTAGAAATTTGTTGAGGTGAATATATCAAAAAGTACAATAAATTTATCTTTGATGAACGACACTAAGCTAAGAGCTACGTTGTATTCGAACTCATCGTGGTATTATTGTAGAATTTAATTAATTATAACGTAGACTAAAGTGGAAATATAGAATCTATTCTTCATTTATAAATATAAAATATTCCATCTTATACCTTATTAATAAATTCATATTAAAATTCAGTTTTAATTTAAACTTTACATATTGTAATCTTATTTTAGGCTGAATCGGTAACGTTGGGAATGACATTAAAATGGTAGGATTACTGTAAAGACACTGAAACGTATGGTACAAAGATAATTTAGAGTAAAAACAAGAAAAAAAGAGTCTGTGTATAATTTCCAGAATATCGAAATTTATGGAAAAATAGAAATGTATCGCATATAATTATGATATTACAAAATTAAAAGTACGGGGGTATAAAATTTATAGGTCGACAAATTTTATTATAATATATATATATAAAACAATATGTATATAATAATTTTTTACTTCATATAAGTATTAATTAATTTGTATAAATAGTATGTCTATTCTATCGTTGAATAATTAATCGATAAATATTGTTTATTCGTTAGTTATTTAATAATAAGACTCATAGTTATAAATCTGAATACAGGGAACTATACTTTTCTTCTTTCTAAAACAATAATTAATATTATTAAGAATCGAATATTATTCTAAATTCACTGTTCAATACAAAGAAAAAGCTTCGTATTATTTAATGATTGATTTTTTGTCAACATCAACGAAGTCTCATAAGGTAATAACTGTTACAATTTCTTGTCATCTCCCACGTTACCGATTGAGTCTGTGTAGAGTAAGATTACAGCGCTATCGATGGTTGAAATTAAAACTAAATCCTGTAAAGGTTACTTGATTCGGAGTAAAAATATTGGAGATTTTTACGCTTAAGAATTATAGTTTAATTTCGAAGATATTTAAACTATTTCAATTTAATCGGCGTCAATCTTTAAGTAAATAACAACCAGAAGAAATATGCGATTGAAATTGTTCTTTATAAAATTTACAGGAAATATTTGATAAGAACAGAAATAATTGATAAATATTTGAAAAAAATTTGCAAATATTCGAAATTAACGAAAAGGATTTCTTCGTATATATAGTGTACACAGATTCTCAGACTACTGTGGTTACGGATCGAAAAATGGAGTGTCGATATTGGAACAGCGAAACATTACTTACTCGTTACTTACGAGGTTGTTGGTAGGATGTTAGGAAAAATGATATGCTCGATCGAAGAGGTTTCAGCCGTAAGTAACCCGACTAGGTCAGTGCAATGTATTTAGTCGCGATAAAAGACACCACCGAGATTGCAGTATAAAACAAAAGAGACAGATAGAAGAAAATTCTCATTAAGTGTCTGAGATTCTCGCGTCTTGAAACAAAGATTATCTGGAAACGAGGCCACGATAAATCGCGTCCTTTCCTTGACCTGGATTTCAACAGCAACCGAGCAGTTTATGCGATCACCTTTTGGTCTGTTTCGAAGATATACGTTTCCAAGCTTTGTTCTCAACTACTATACGAGATAGCGCCATTCCCTTTTTACCAAGTGCATTTAACGTTCGCGGATGCATTAAATCTCTTGCGGAAATAGTCCAGGGCTCGATTCGAATCCAAAAGAAACGGTAGGACCATTTTTTTCCTTGGTTCCAGGGTATTTTACATAAAACGACCTATGAAAGACGTACTTTGGGTGGTGCCGTAGAAACTTTCCGAGCATTTCGAGCTTCGCGCATACAATCCGCTTTATTTACGGCCAATTTATTATATCCGATAACCACGACAAATTTAAATTTCTTTTCTTTAATTCTACCAAGCGAAGTAAAATCGAATAAGGAGGCAAGGAAAATATAGACAGAACACGGACTGAACGTGTACATATTTATTTTTCGTCGCGTTGAAAATTGATGAAAGTTTTAACACGGGGAAATTGATCGTCCAGCAGAGGTCGAGGAACGTTGACCGAGAGAGAATATGGAGAGAATATGGAGAGAATATGGAGAGAATATGGAGAGAATATGAAGAGAATATGGAGAGAATATTCGTGCAATACAAACGCATAACACGAAATCGATGTGTTTTATTTATATACAATATTTACAAAGGCATACTGTTATCGAGTTGCTAATAAATATCTTCGTACGCTTAAACGTGTACAATGTTGCATAAGCATGGCTTTGAGTCCTTTTGATTTTCACGTGTTGCGACAGGGCTAAGACCAAGCTCCTCACCGACCGTCCTCTTACGACGTTTTTTCGTCCCTTGGTCCACCCTTAAATGCAGCTCTCCTGAATCACGGCACTTCTGATCACCGTTTCCGAATACCGATGTGGCCTCTGAAGACTATAGAATGTCTGTAAACAGAGTCATGCGTCTTCTTGACGGAACCACTTCCACTGTTACTGCGACGTTAGATCGATTTACAGCAAGACTTGCCGATCGAACACCGTCATTATTCTACAACGACACGCTCTCTCGTTTTTTTTCCAACAACGACAAAGCGAAAAGGAATTTCGGTTACTTACGTTCGGCGATGCTCGCGGATAGTCCGTGTCTTCTACGACGTCGTGGGACATTTCTCGTCCTTCCAGCTGGCGTGGCCTTCGTGGCAGGGAACCGTAATGTAGAAGCTTCCTATCTGGAAAAAATTTCCCCGTAGTCATCTTTTCTCTCTTTTCGCGCGCCTCTTTGAGATTCGAAGAGCCGAAGATGCAGAAAAATTGCAGTGTCATAGTTCTCGCGCGGATCGCGTATTTCGGATAGTTTTCTCTTTTTGCAAGATCGCAAGAAAGACGTCTCGTCATCGATCGTGCGTACGTCTTTCAACGGCTTTCATAGAGGACCTTCTCGCGGACGAGTGTTCGATTTCCGACTGGGTGCATCCGCCGCGAGCGTAGTGGACGTAACGCACGCGTTTCCGGCGAGCAATTTTCTTGAAAGTATCGTTAACCGCGATCGCGGTTTAGGACGAGACTCGATATATTTGCGATTCTCGTTTAAACGGAGCACTTTCATCAGCTCGAGTAGTGGTTCACCAGACGAGACGGTGGGTTATTTTTCGACTATGCGATCGAACGCGAATGAAGCCGGTATCTTTTTCCGTTCGAGTTCACCTGTAGATCCGTGGACGACGCAGAAACGTGGCTACGTGCGCACGTGTGGAACGCAAGTTTGGATAATATGTAACGTAAGGGAATACGTGGCACACGGTGCAACTTACCTGTCAGGTGATTGGTCAAGGCCGTGGTGGGTATAAGATCAGGATTTCCGTCCTCTTCTTCACCTTTACCGGCGAAAGTCGCGATACTGGGTTGTTGGGGTGGCTTTGGTTTCGCCGGAGTGGCCGCGTGTTTCCTCCAAAGCGCCATTAGCACTCCGGTCACGATCAAGCCCAAACCGGTCGCGGTTCCACCTAGGCCAATCAGGATCGGTGACATGTCCACCGAAGATGCCGATTCGCCTATAAACCAAATCACCCCCGATCCTACTACGTATACATAATTCATTTCGCAATGTACGCAGTTGAACTATACAGCTTCTCCTGTCTTCCTTCTTCGCGCGATTCTCCTTCGATCGTTTCGACGTGCAATTTTCAAGGTTCGAGACCCGAGGAGCCGAGCCGTCGTTGATTTCTATCTCGTTCCGGCGATTCTAGTTTCCTCGAACGAAGTTGTTTAGACAAACGACCGTTCTAGTTGCATAGTTGCAGCGAAAGAAACGAAAGTACCGATCGGGAAGTTCAGAAGAACGGGGCGTGTACGATCCACGCGGCACCGAATGCGTTAACCGTACCGTTTGATATGGCAAATATATTAATTATTATTGGAATCACGTTACCGAAAACGAACTGGAAGTCGATACAGAATTTAAAGTGTAATTCTATACAACGAATGCAATACGAGAAATGGGAAAATTCGTATATATGCAAACAACTGAGAATATTTGCACGAGTAACGAAATTTCCATCGCGTCGAATTAATCGAAATAAATAGAACTTGTCGATACACGGAGATTTTGTTTACGTATTTTATTTATAAGGCGATCTCTAATATTACAGCAGCGATGAAATCAGTTTGCGCCATTACTTTTTTCTTTCTGCCGACTGACTTCTCTCGGTTTCGGAAAAGTCCGCGGTCGCGTTTATCGAGAATTAGGGGAACGGCGAGAGACGAATAAAAGCGCTCACGCGATAAACGTATGGAGGGAACGGGAGGGAGAGTAAATTCGTATAATTGCGTTTGGCGAGATGCGTAGATGCGCGGAAATCGAGACACAATGTTGTTCGTCTCTAAACGAGGGGGAAAGGCTTTGACGAGTCGTATCCTTTGAAAAGCGCACGGCTTATGAAACGGATGCTGGTCGTTGCGTTTCCGCCTCTTTGTATAGCGTAGCCTGTTCAACTCGCGTTAGAGGTACTTACGCACCGGTGAACTTGGCCACTCCTTTTAGCGCTTCTCCTTCCATGATCACTGGATCACTGGAGCCCTTCATATTGACCGCGTAAAGAGCGACCGTTGTCGGTTTGCGAAGTTCCAGCTCCCAGTAAGGACTTGCCGACTCCAAGCGTTGCTTGTCCACGATCGCCACGAATTTCTGGGGCAGACCACCGTCGTATCCTTCCACGCAGGATATTCTGATCCAGGAACCGGTTTGATTGTACGCCGTGCAATTTTGCAACGGGTACGGTCTGCCTGCGAGCGAGACACCATTTTCGATCATACGCCGTGCAACGGATAAGACGCGTAACTAGGCAAATTCGCGCCAGAGACGTAAACGTATCTAAAATAGCGAAATAACAAAAGCAAAGGTGTTTACACGGTGAACGATGGTAACAGCGCAGAGCGTGAAGGCAATGGAGCTAACGTGTACGACGAGATGTACAAATCCGTTGTTTCGAAAGGACGCGTTAATACAAGCTTGTTTACCATGTATGGTAAAATTTCACTCGGCCGCGATGAGTACGGAAAAAGTGGCGTACTCGCGTTGCGGTTCGTACAACTTCATTTAATTTGCCGGTGAAAATTGCCACGCGATGCTGCGTCGTTTTGCAACCGATGAAATTATGTTCCACGGCCGTCATTATCGACGTCTGTATAATGGTGTTGCATTAACGAGATCACTTGTATGCAAATAGGGGTCTGAAAAAGCTCGCGCAAGCGTCGGACAATGTGGTCGGTGCAGCTCTTTTTTGTTTTCCCGTGTAACGCGTAACAAGAATAATCCTTTGCAGCAGCGTAGATTAGTGTAGCCACGATAAAACAGATTTTCTTCGTTTTTAAAACCCTTTCCTTTTGAAATCGTATCCCGCTAACCATTCTTCCCTCTTTCTTTCCTTTTTTTACGCATTTTTATTCTTTAGCCGTACCTCGCAAATTATTCCTAACGCGTACCGTGCTTTGTTCCATTGCGAGTTTGCACTCGCAAATTATTTGGATAATTTTCCCCTGAAAGTCGTTTTCTTTCGCGAAACATCGCGTTCTATCGCGTTCTATCGCGTTCTAGCTTCAATATTATACGAGACAGACGCGTTCTGATCATCGTTTGCTGTTGCTTCTCAAACGGTAAGTTCGTCAGACGCGGGTGGTTATTTCGACGAATAGAACGAGAGAAAATGTTCGATTCGGACGCGACTATGTTGGCGTTTCCACTTACCGCCTCGCATCATCGTTTCAATTAACGATTTAATTACTCGCGACCGGGGTGGTGGTGCTGGAGGTGGACCAACGGCAGAATGCCGAAGCGTTTCGCGTTGCTTCCACGAGAGCCGAGTACCGCTCGTTGCACGATAAAAAATTGCCCTCCGATAATTACCTAGGTAAGAAACACGTTGCTTCTCCGCCGAAAATAAATTATGCGTCTGATCGTCGCGAGCGGTGCACGCGAGCAGGGATTAAAATCGAATGGAATATTGCCTCGGGCAACTATCGATCGAGTTAAGCCGATTTTTCTATCGGTCTTTCTACCAGCTTTTCCCTCGACGCTGTACCGGACCAAATGAATTCCACGAAATGAACCAAATCCCGCGGTAGTTTTCTTCTTCGGACGTTTCGCAGGTTTATCTTTTCGCTGGGTTTTCCCTCGACCACGACTCGAATAACGGCGCGTCGCGCATACACCTCCGGCAAACATATTCAATTACGATGTCGGTGAAATTTTCGGCATTTGGGGGGACGAGTGAAACGCGGAGGACGGGACCGATACGATCTCTCGACGCGACAAACGGTCAACGAGTTCCGACGAACCTGCTGCGATCACTTGATAGAGACACGGTTGCTTCGAGGAACCCACGATGTTACTGGCCCAACATCCCAACGTTCCGTAATCCATATCGGACGCTGGAGTGTAATTGAGTCTACTCGAGGTGCCTTCGTTAGAATATTTTGTGGACGGAATGTCGCTAAGGTCACCGCTGCTGTTGAAGGTCCAATAGAAGGTGATGGCGGTTGGGTTCGCCTCGACCTCGCAAACTAAGCTGATGGTTTCGTGCTTCAAAGCTCCGTGAACCTCTTCGGGTACGTTCAGAGGTGGCGGGGTTGCGTTCTGATACCTCCAACCGGCCGAGTTCAAAACGTGCTTGCAAACGGGAGCGACTGTAACACAAACGCGATCCACGATAATATCCCGTCGCGTCTTACGTTTTACGCTCTTCGCTCACGCCATTCGCGTTATTCCGCGATAAAAACGGGAAAATCACCGGGACAGGTGTAAAATGTTTCGAGCCCGCGGTTACCTTGCATGGGATACGTCGCGTGCATTAACATGGAGGAAAATAAAGGGAACAGTTTGGGCAACTTACCAGCGGTAATTCGCAGAGGCAAGTATTATACTTACACGACTCCGGTATTATCGCCAACTTTTGCCGGGTGAAATATTTTTTCCGGCCCATAGTCGGCTACCGGTAAGAGCGGCTAAATATACTTACACATAACCTCGAGGTTCACTATGTTAGAACTAGCGCGGCCCTCGACATTGACGGCCATGCAGGTGTACCTTCCAGCGGATTCTCGAGTTATACTTTGAAGCACCAGCGAGTGGTCCGAGAGCACTATGCCGGCGGTGACGTTGTAATGGAGCTCTTCTTCCTGTATAAACAAAGGGAAAATATCCTGCGTGAAAGAATTGTAGTGGCCATTGTCGTCGAGATTTCGCTCGATAGTTTGCTATGGCGTCTTCGGTGATGAAATTTCCCGAAATCGTTGCAGGCAGACTAAAATAACGAGAAAGGGTAGACGGCGGAGGAGCAGTCGGGGAGCAGCAGACGGTTCACGGTTTGTTGCGTATGCCATACATAGTTAAGTCTTCTCGGCTACGGTTACCGGGAAAAGTTAGCAGCGTGGTCGGCGAAGCTTCGAAAAGTTAGTACATACCGTGTTTGGTGCATTCTCCGGTTCCTATCCAACCATAAAGCCTGTCATACGCGCGAAAGATTCAAAATTTACCTCGCAGCAAAAACACACTCGAAACTCGCGCGAACTCTAGTTACCGAATCTCTCGCGAGTCTCTCGGTCTGGTCAGGAAAGTTTTTGGAACGACAGTGAGATTCCGTGATATTTCTACCAGGCTAAATACGTTTTCGTTGCCTCGGCTAGTAGTCGGACAATTTCTTCCCGCTGTTGCGTGCAATGTACAAAGGTTAGCAAGAAAGGAGAGCTTTCCCCGATGAAGATTCACAGGGAGCAGAGCGAAAGAGAAAGTTTACGCGACTAGCTGTTGTGCTTAACACCGAACAAATTTGTTCTCGCGTGCCTTGACTTTCTTCGCAGTGACCGAAGACGACGGTTTTCAACGAGGAAACGTGGTCGTAGTTCCGTTTGCAGATTGTCGCTCGCCTCCTGGGGTTGGACAAAGGGAATCTACGATGTATACTGCTCGGCTGCTATTCTCTGTCTTTCTTCGCCTTTTCCACCGAGTAGTTATTTTACCTTCGTTCAAACCTCTACGTATATACGCGTACATTTACCGGCGACAAAATTTTCGCCCCGTCTTCTGCACTTTTCGAATCCATGTTTATATGGGCGTGAGTTAGTGCGCGCGCGTGCACGATATTATAATTTCCCCTTAACTTTCTGGCAAAGGCTTTGCACACAGATTGCGGCCCAAGGCGTGTCACGCGAAATGAAGGCCGTAGATGGATGTAAATTTCGGAAACTCGATTATTTCTGTTGCCTCGGGATCTCCATATTCCCGCGGATGTCTCGCAAGTAAATTGTTTAGATATTTTATCAAGAGGTCTCGTCGAATTCGGCACACGTTCCACTCGATTGCTTTTTCTCGATTACGTTTATCGCAGAAACCAACAGCTGTATTTTTCATCGTTCGTATCGAACTCGTTTATGGCAAATTTTCGACTCTACGTTAAACTTTCAGAGACGAAGAGAACGAGGGAGGGAGGAAGAGAGAGAGAGAGAGAGAGAGAGAGAGAACGTAGTAAACCACGATCGTGAATTTGACAAGTTTCCAGGCAAATCACCTTGGAATTAATACTCTATTCGAGTAGTGTCGAAACTAATTCGACGTGTACTTTCGTCGTATTATCGGTTTCAGCCGAGTTTCAAATTGCGATTCGTCATTAGCAGTGTTTAGTTCAGCCGGAAAAAGAACAGAATTGGAAACGCATTTGCGTGGAATTAAAGTGGCTCGAGCTTGCCTCTGTATTAGTACGCTATGGAAATTGGCTCGAGGAAGAATAAACAAAGTCGCGAAAGAATGGAGAAAGAAACGTCAAAGATGGAAGATTTTGTCGGAAACACGTGTATACCTTTGCTCGTTTCGCATGTGTAACGGGTGTCGTATGCGTTTCATTCGGTTTCGCGGAATTTGTAGAAACTTGTACGTGCCAACCGCACGGCGCAAGAATCTGCCTCGAGCGACTCGAAACTCTCTTGAATTGGGAAGCAATATGTCTTTACGTGCAACGGTTATTGTAATAGCGTTTGTGCGTTGGAAACGCGAATGCGCTGAACGCACGATGCTTCATCTTTCTCGCGTTTTATCAACATCCAATATTTGCGATATTTCCCTTACCCTCTGTCGAAATATCGTAAGAACGATGCAGCAAAGCTGCTTTGCGGGCAAAGCTCTAGTATCATGTTGGTTCGCCAGGTATCCGAAACAATTCCTTTCTTCGCGGCATGCGTTCATTTTACCTTGAATTTCTGCGTTTTCATATAACGTAACGTGACTGCATTAGACGTTAAATATTCGCATTCATGTCAGAACAATAATACGTATTCGTGGCAAGCAAGGAATATATTTGCTTCTCTGCATTACAAACGGATGCCAGAAAAGGGGTAGACAAGAGCGATAACTCCTATTCTCGTGGAATATCTCGGCACGTGCGTCTTCCGGCCAACTTCCCTACCGTATTCTTATCTGTCAGATTATGCATAAAGCATAAGCAAGCTTTCTTCGTCCTTTGATTCCCTTCTCAGCGATACCCTTACTAATCTTAAATAATTTTGCGATGCATACACGTGGCACGCTTTGAACGACTCTTCGGAAACGGACCGCAATAATGCATCGAAGGAGTATGCTTCAGTCAAATGGACAGTAGCGATGCATTAATTTTGAGTAAATATTTCTAAAACAGTCACAGGATTTTCGAATACAGCGTGTTTTAATATACGTAGATTAGTCCGTTTTATATACCGCAATGAAGCACGAAAGGTTAATTTTCTAGTGGAAAGGGAATTTTTGACATACACGTGAAAGGATCAATGCTTTGTAAGAATCACCTGTCGTTTAAATTCCGTTTCTCTTTCAAACATTTTTCCAACTGTTCGTTATATATGGCGCGCTTTTCGATCGAGCTTTTATCAGGGCCCTGTTCATGCATAATCGACTTTTTCGTATAAAGTTGTTAAAAACTAATCTCCTATCTAGCTTTTAAGACGAGAATGAATCTTTTAACGGTTTTACTTCTCGTGTAATACGTTTTAGCCAAAAATACAGAGGAAATAAAAATATTTTCACACGTACACGTATGCGTATGATAGAAATTTATCCTATGTAAAGCACGAATGTAATTATAGCTTATGAAAAATGCGTAAATTATCAAATTTATTACTAATAACAAATTGTTCACAACGTTAATGCATGATACGAGTGAAAAAATTTCTAAGTGATTGTCCATTGCTTGAACTTATAACGTATTTGTGCTAAAATGTATCTATAATTTACAAAAAGTTTACAAATAATTGCACTCATTGTTAATAACAAATTAATATTGTTAATAACAAATTTTTCGCGATGTAAATTTATAATAGACGTGAAAAAATTAATAAATTATCAACTATTACAGAGGAAAAGTAATAATTAATGGAATCGGTGAAACTCGGAAATTTCCGTCGATTTTCGGCCGATCGTCGCCTATATAAAGATTGCGCGAACCCAGCAGAAGCTCATTTGTCGTTTGGGGATCGGAGTGTTCGTATCAAAATTTTCGTCTCGCAGGGGGGTTGGTGGTGGGAGGGGATGGTGAGTGATCATTGACTAGACCCTTGGGCTAGACGATGACCATTGTCCATTCCACCCACGCACCGACCCCCATAAAATTTACTAACAATTTCTTAATTATTATAATTAAAAAAAATTTGTTTTCTTTTATACAGAATTCTATTTCTTGTCGACATTGATCCTTTTTCGGATAGCAGCGAACCTTCTGTCGTTCTTACTTTTTATGTAATACTTGATTTTAGCAAAAAATCGCGGATTTTAAGAAAAACTCGCAATTTTCGAAAGCAGTGGATGATAGACAATTTCGATTACGGATTCTTTACGAAAAACTTTACAAGAATTACCCAATGGATATTACAGAATAAAATTTGCGTTGAATAGTATAACACGCCTGAATATATAACGATAGTGCAATTATGCGCATGATCGTAAATATGGAGGGCTTCTACTGGGCTACGCGGAGATATACTTTAAAAATAAAGTAAAAAGTTTGGAACAAACTTTATAAAGCCACGTACGCGTCCACGTGAAACATGATCGCCGGGTTGTCCCATCTGACACTTTTGGAGTTTGCGTACACTCTAAACGCGGAGTTGGAGTACATATCGAAACATCAACTGTGATTTTAAAAAAGCGTGGCTGAAAAAAAGGCGAAAAAACATTTGCCTGTGCCTTTTCGCTTTTATGACATCTTCCGGCGGTGATTCCGCTATCGAAGGGTAAAGTGATCGTGGAACAAGCACGCTAACGTGCGGTGACATTGCTCGCGTAATGACGTTTAACGCGTAGCATTGCGATAATACGAGCGTCACGGCACAATGTAGCATAGGTAAATCGATGGAAGGTTTGCCATGATGTATCACGTCCGACGGATTTAGTTTCAACCGCGTGTCACCGCCTGTGGCTATCTGTCGCTGAATATACCACTGATTATGAGAAGCACGGACACCCACTTCACATCTGATCGTGATCGTCTTTCTTCTCTTTTGATTTCTCCGTCAAACGACAACCGTAAACCGATTCGCGGTCGCAAACGTTATTCGCAGGTGCGCGTATTTACGCGCATTTACGCGGATTTACGCGGATTTACGCGCATTCACGCGCGCGGCTCGCGCCTTTGCGCGTGAACCTCGCGCCGTTAATTCGAGCGCGAGTGCTCGTAAGCGCTTGGTATTTCCGATGTCAGATAAAAGCTATCGTCGCTTTCATCGGACATTTCGGTGAAGAGACTGAAATTTTGATAACACTTGTGGGAGTGGTGGATACGTGTCGTTCATTCGGGAGGAAATTTTCGTCGCGCGGACGTTTTTACGCGGACATTTTTACGGATTGGTAAACCGGTCCTGTCCGGTGATTCGTGGGCAATTTATTGGTTTGGTTTTCGGACTGTGCGAGGATGGAGGGGCACCGAATGGACGGGAAGTGACAACGGCAGCTCGTAAATTTACAATAATTTCGACAGAGTGCACACGAATGCACATACGGAGGCCAAACGCTTCGAGACGTTTGAAATTATCCTTGCCTTTCGCGAGAATTCTCCTTCGACGAAAACTCTTTTCCGAGACTTTTAAACTCTGTTACTTATTCACCAAATTTTTCTCTTACTTTCTTCTTCGACCCAGCATTGAATCATATTCCTTGGAAAGACGTCCTATTATTAAAACTTTTTCCCTCTGTTATCCGACTTTGCGAACTTTCGATTATCCAAGTTCATTCGATCGTAATTCTTGCTATTAGTGCTCGAGAATATTAATGGAGAATCGCGAGTAACGTTAAATTAAGAATTAGCCTTATGAAGAGAGAGTATTGCCGTGTTCCGAAATTGCACGGGCTAAAAATGAAACTTACTCTCGATCGACAGGATCAGGTTCGTTCGATAAAGAGATACAATCGTGGATACGTCGAAGCTTATATTTTCAAGTAATCCTCTTTTCCTCACCGCGCTTGGTCTGTTCGCTGTAAAATCCGCTACAAACAATTCGTCACGAGAAAACGGAGAAAAACGTTATTGGATAAAGGAAAGATGATGGGTCTCGTTTCCTCGGCGAGCGTCACAGAATCGACGTCGCTTACATTAAGAAGCTTCGTGTTTCTTTTTCGGCAAACTTTTGCGTTCTAACGGCGAAAGACGAAGGAAACGATCCAAAGAATATCGCAGAGTCAACTTTAACAAGGATTAGCGCGACTGGTTGATCCGACACGGTTAGTTTTCCTATTTAGCCTCGGTTCCACCTCGTTCTCGACGTTCGAAGCAAACAGGCTCGCGAAAGATCACCGGAACAGGCGTCGCGAGCTCGAAATGCCGTCGTCGGAAGAGAGAAAGGTTCAGCCCGATGCTTCCAGGATTCGCCAACCCCTTGGGAAAGCTCCGACCTGGCAGAGAAAATGATGGAAAGCATAATCCCCCTTAAGAGGCTTAACTCGACGATCCTCGAGTGACCGGAGATAACGCCCGAGCTTTCCAGGTGCGAGCCAGGAGTTTTTCAGGATATTTTTCGCGAGTCAAGACGAAAAGAAACGGCCTGACGGCACGAGCGTTGCTTTCTTGCGGCCTTGTTTCCGCTCGATGCATTACTTACGCTTTAGTCCTTTACGTCGCTCGGAATTTACGCTCCGTATGCAAGCCAGAGGTAACGTATCCGACGTCTATTCGGACGCGAACGGACCAAGCCGTTCTTTTACCTCCCATTATACCACGATTTCCACGATTTCGCAGACTTTATCGCACGACAAAATTATTGCGTTACTTTTATGCTCTTGTTCCTTTTTTTTTTACGACTGCGTGATATAAAGCAAATGCCGAGTTCACACCGGTACGCTGCCGCCGTTTAATTTCACGCCTGTGTCGATTCGTCGAGGAACGGTTTTACGACGTATCTTTCCCCCCTCTCTTTCCTTCTCGAACGAGCTGGCCACAGAGTGCGCGCGCATCGGCGTGCATTTCGCACGGACAGCTAACTTCGTCGTGGACCGGTGACCGAGCGAGTTTCGTAGTTTTTCGACTTGCTTTGAGGAAAAGAAATGTGCGCGAAGGAACGGAAAAACAATGGTCGATTGGACGTACCTCGTGAAACCATGTCAATCTGTAAGCTCTAGGATTCGCCCTAACGTTGCACTCGAAGTAGACATCGTCGCCCTCCTTGATGTTCCTTGGATTCAACGACGAACCCATCTTCAAAGTGACGACAGGAGAAACTAAAAAACAGGAACGTTAAGGTTAGAACGAAATAAAGAACCTCTTTGTTTTCCTTGAGATCTTTATCCGTTCCGAATACGACGAAAAAGGTAAAAAGAGATCGATCGCATGACGATCGAAAATTTATACTCGTCGCACGTTCGTCGCTATGTTATTTATGAATTGAGAGCTCATCGAGGCCGCGGTACAATAATATTCGGGCATTAGCGGAGCTCGCTTAATGAAATTTGCATTTTCGTTCACGCGAAACGCGTCCAAGTGAACATTGAATCGCGGCGGAGGGGAATCGGAACGCGAAACTACCACGTATAGTTAATAACGTCACGCTCGAATTAACGGGAAGCATTTTATCGTGCATAGTTCGCTGCATGAAGAAAATCGCTATTGGTCGTAGCGAGACCTGCCATTTTGCGCTCGCGTCAATAGCACGGTCAGTGAGTTCCATCGTATCGGTAGCCATTACGGGTGCGATAAGAACGAACAAAGGAAGTGTCCGGCATTATTTTCGATTTTTTTTTTTTTTTTTTTTTTTTTAACGATCGAAGTCGATTCTTGTTTGGTGGACTATCGAGTGTTCGTTTATTACGTGCACATTGTTTAATGTTTCATGCACATTGGATATTTATTATTGGATACGATGTTTCGAAAAAAGCGAAATCGCGAAAAGGGATAGGTAAGAAACGTAATATGACGCAATATGTAAGACGAATGACGCAACATTTACGACGAATGATGCAATATGTACGACGAATGACGCAACGTATGACGCAATATGTTTCGCTTGTTACACGTTGTTCCTTTTCTTTTTTCTTTTCGAAATACGACACCGTATTTCGGAAAACACGATAGAGACACGATGTCCTTTGCATATCGTCGAAGATAACATTTCGCGAATAACGCGAATAACGACATCTCGTTAGTGTCAAGGTAAGCTATTCGCGTTGTAAGAAAGTTACAAAGTAGCTTAAAGGCAATTCTTCTTTCGTAAGAGGTAGTTCGAAATGGCGAAGTAGGTATAAAGAAAGTAATGCGATATCGATTAGAAGGAAACGAGAAAATTATAAATAACGATCCTACGACGCCTTATATTTTCCGTAATAATTCGATCGCGAAATAAATCGTGGATCGACACGTTAGCAGGAAGCCGTGCCGTGTGCATTCGCCCCGCGATGTAAATGCGGCATGATACAATATGTACTTCAATGTCGTAGCTCTAGCGGCACGTTCACATTCACGGAATACGTGCAACTACATATAACTGTAGTACCCTCTAGAAACGACGCGCGTACAACAACGCGTTTAAAGTTTACGCTAATTTCGCCTGCGCGAATCTTCTCTCGCGTTTACGTACTCTTGAACGGAATTGTTCGCGTGCCTGTCATCGAACGAACGCGTCTATGCATCTTTTAACGAGCTGTCCCGTCACTCGTCTTAAATTCGACCATTACGAGAGTCGTAACGGTTGCGAGTTATCGTTAAAATCAATCACTTGCTCGGAACACTTTGATATCGCGTACGATTTATTTACCTATGTACGCGCAAGTACGTCCACGTATATGTACCGTTGTGCGTAGAAAATGCAACCAAGTGCAGGTAACGTGTTGCCTGCCATGCTGATACAAAGTGAACAGATATATGCGTCGCAAACGAACTGTGTTACATTCTATGTATCCAGCTGCATGCGGTACTTATGTTAACGCGCTACCGACGTTTTAGTACGTAATGCGTTCAATTATACGCCGGCGGGTCGGCTACGAATTAATTTTCATTGTGTACACGTTTTGCAAAAAGTTCTTTTATCCTGTGTAAAAGGCGCAAATACCTTCCTTCGTTACGGCTCGACCGAAGAGTTACAAAAACGGGTTCTGTTACATCGATTATTCCTCGATAACACGCGCAGTCGAAGGAAAGTAAAAAACCTTTAGATTCTGTAATTATGATTATACAATATGGAGTGGACGGATCTTTTTAAACAGTCGCAGTTTAATACGAGTGCGAGCGAATATCGCGAGATATAACGGGACGACAACAAGTCCATGAATATCGAGGAATAGTCGAAACTCGATGAATACCGGCGTGCATATTTTCTTTGCCGTTATTAAATTAGTCTCCTGACTATGAACAGATAATAACGGTTTCTATAGAGAATTAAACAACAAGGATCACTTTTTTCCTACCGACGTCGATACGATATCATTGGTTTTAGATACAATAGATATAACGTGGATATTTTGACGGAGCTGAATAAAACGCTATTATGCGTATTGCGTAAAAGCTTTTCGCGGTTCGCGTGCTCGGTAAACCATGAAGGTCTGCGTAAATTTGCGTTATCGGTTTGTATTCGCAAGCAATTTTTCGCCTGTTATTTCGTTTCTCTGTTTTATTTTATCCGAATATTTCGACAGAAACCATCTATTTCCGGAAATTCAATTATATACGCAGTTGTAGAAATTCTGCTTGTAAATGGATCGTAACGCGGGCGATCAGAATGAAACGATAAAATTCGCAAACGTACGCAATTCTGCACGTATACAATGTGTGCGGTGATTGCGAGATTGCCAAGGTTCTGCCAGCTTCTACCCTTCACTGGACGTCGTTGGATTTTATCGGTGAGATACCGAAGATCCGCGGCAGAGAGGAAAGACGATGCTTTATTGCAAACGACTGTCACAGGGGGAAGCTTGGCACTCGAAATGCAGTCATTATTCGTCCTAACACCCCGCAGAGTGCGCGCGGGGGTTTTCTGTTGGCCGAGTTCGATTCGTCAAACCCGGTGCCAAACGGAAGGTACCGAGAGACAAAGCGGGCGCGCGGTAGAGATTGGAGGGAAATACAATTTAAAGGGGAGGAAAATGAAAAGCGGAAGAAAACGCGTTTCGACGAAATCAAATATAGACCGTTCGTTTCGTAGACGGGATCGATATATCGAACGAAACCGGACGAAATTGGCGCGCGTATGTGCGCGACGGGAAGTTTCGATTCGTGGCGATGGTATGCGGTAACTTTCAATATTCGTGGCTGACACAGTTTCGGCCTCTTAGCTTGCCGAACATAAACAACGGGCCAAGTGTCATCGAGAGAGAGAGAGAGAGAGAGAGAGAGATAGAGAGAGAGAGAGAGAGAGAGAGAGACTGGAAGAGAGGAGGCATTCGGGACGAATGCTTAGAGGTTGAAGTTTGAGAATAGTTCATGCGATACGTTACTGTATAAAGTTTCGCGGGTATTATAATTGCCGCAGTCGCTGACTACGCGCGTGCTTAGGTCTGGCTCTCTTCCTATGCGAAATGTCTCTTTTGTCGTGGAAAACGTCGAGGTCGCGAGGAACGTCTCGTACGCTTCGTACCGTATCCCGGTATTATTACCCGTAATGGAAACGGAGATGAGAAGAACGTACCGCGGTGGGATGAAAGAAGAAAACAAAAAGGCGAAGCAGAAAGGGATGCAGGCACGGAGAGGTCTCGAACAATCGGTCCGTACGAGGGGCCACTTCGCGATATGAATTCTGCAGCGTGTGCCGATGGATCGGCTCGATATCGCCGACCGGAATTCTCTTGGTCGTTCGGTTGTCTCATCGCACGGTGAATCCGATTGATATCGGAGCCTTGGTATGCTTTGTGAAATTTTCGGAAAGTCTGCTCGATGGAACACGCGCTATCCGATCGGGAATGGATGGACGTGTCTCTGCAGGCTAGGCTGGGCGGGCGGGCGGCTACGTGTCTTGCAGGTCCGCCGACGTACTTTTCCGATTCTTGGGAAACGCTCAAAGACCGCTGGCCGAAATTGAAGATATTCCATCGATAACGGGAAATAATTTTAGATAGCGACTCGCTTTCGTTCTCGTTCGATGGGGAAAAAACGAAAGATCGTAATATAGCGTCAGAGCCTATGGACTAGTTACGGATCGATTAGACCGCGGGTTACCGTGCTCGTTGAATTTCTTTCCAACGAAACGGTCTCGAAAGAAACCGGAAAATGTTTCAATGGTCCGAATCGGATCGAATCTGCGCGTTCGTAAAGAAAGAAAAGTTCCGTCGTCTCTCTCGCTAAGACTCTATTCCGCAGCGGAAGATTACGCGTCTGCCGAGCGGAAGGATCACGGGTCATCCGCAGAGAGTATGAAGGCACGGGGTTGAATCGGGAAGCCAAACAGCAGGCAAAGTTAACCGGTGAACTGATTTTCCAGGCAAGCCGAGTACGGTTGCATTCGTTCGTATCTGGGCTGGCGCATTAATTAAAACATTCGATTAAAATCCTGAGCAGGGGAACGCTGAATAGTGACGATACACGGGTAAAATGTAACACGCGTTAAAGAAGATACCACTCGTGTCCAATGTAAGGCACACGGATGTGCTTCAACGGCTCTTGTGCTTTTGGAACGCGTCATTACGGGACGGGCACATAAAAACCGACGTAATCCGTGTAGTTGTCTCGGTTAATTGGGTCGTCTCCTGGCCGTCTCGACCGTAAATTTGTAACTCGAGACTCGCGGAAGATGGCAGCGTGGCTTGTGCGCTGATATTAAAAAGATCTTTAGCCGAGGTATTAACGCGCAGTTGCGCGATTACAAAGGGAAGTTACGTGTATGAAATTCGCATACGGCGTATCGAGCCGTGTTCGTTATGCCCGTTACTTTTTCTATTCAAAATGATGTCTGGTGTCTCGCTGACGTTTCACGCTCGTTACGGGCCATCAGTCATCCCGTTGCTTGGCACGCATGGAAGCACCGAAACTCTTGGAACACTCTGGAACACGTACGGAATTAGTCTCTTCGTAGCAGCACCGAATTCCACCGAACCGGAAACTTTTTAGGACTCTCGAATCTCGAAGTTTCGAGAAAATACGACTTAATTCTACGAACGGTTATTCTCCTTCCTGAAATTAGTTAGGAAGAACAGGATCGGCAGGGTACGCGGTGTTTCATCCGCGAAGATTGTAGAATGAAAATATCGCTGTCCCCGGCAACGATATCGTGAATTTTAATTAAATCTCGAGTCTCGGT